TTCTCTGGAAGCAGAGCCTGAGATGGGCATTTCATGCAAGTGGCTCCTGGAGATAGTCCTGGGAGAACTGTGTGAGGGAGGAGGGGGGAAGCAGGACGGGCCGGGGAAGGAAGTGGGCAAAGATGCGGTTTCTGAATTAGTCTAGGCTCAGCTTAATCTCTTGGGGTGCTTCGGAGTGAAGGGATGGAAATTGTGCTGCTCAGAGGCAAGGGGGCTGGACTGTTGTACACACAACAGCCGCACCCGCCTCACCTCCCCGTCACACAAGTAGTTTTAGTCAGTCACTGGCCAGGGGCTGATCCAGGTATAACTGGCCGGTCTCTCCTGGTGAGCGGGCTTCCTTTAGGAAGGGGACTGGGGTAAGGTAAGTGGACCTGGGCAGGCACTGACAGCATCTGCTGGGAGGACAGGACATATACCTCCTGGTAAATGGGATATCTCTGAGTGATGAGGTAAAAATTATTTTTCCTTGGTGTTTTCTGTAGTTTACAAGTTTTCTAACATTGTGTCTACTAATTTTGGAATTAGAAAATACAAAAGCAATTAAATCCATGCAGCAGAATCACCTGGTTTATTGCAGGCAGAAGTAACCATAAACGACTCCCATATTCCCAACTCCCTGTGGTGACCTCTTAAGGACACCTGACATGGGACAGATGGCCCCTGCTCCCTGTTTGGCAATGGTGCTTCCCAAGGCCAGCCCATTATCAGAGCTTATTATCAGAGCTTCTCTGCTTGTTCATCAGGCTCGGCGGGCCCATCATTAGTCATTAAGCACTTAAGGGATGCTGATTGTGGGTCTCATAAATCAAGAATGTCACTACATGCCTAATGGATAGGGGCGCCATGAGGAGAAAAGGAAGCTGGTACTGGGCCATAAATAATAGCAAGTGCAATGCATGCGCCAGACACTGCCAGAACCTTTATATATGGCATCTTGTTTAATCCTTACAACAGCCCCATGAAGTAGTCATGGTTATTCTTATAAAATAGTAGAGGAAGTCCCTGTATTGGGGTTTAGGAGATTGTAGTTCTGATTTTTGTTCCGCCGCCAATGAAAAACTAAAAACACGGGACCAAGTGAGTGAGTGTGTGTCAAACCATATTGCCAGGAGCCCTGAGGCTCAGCAGAGATGTCCAGGCACGGAGGTGCTGCTGACAGGGGAGGACTGGCCATTTGCACCTCAGCCATAGCAGCGCTGCCTTGATCTCTGTCCGGTGTCAGCGGCCTTCCTGGGTCTGCAGCAAGTGCAGCTGTGTGGGGCCTGCCAGGCTCAAAGCGGCCCAGTGTTTAGGATTTAATGCTTGTAGGCGCCATCTTGAAGGTCTTAATAATTTTATTCAGAGTTTGTGTTTGGTAAGTGGCATCTCGTGGCACAGTGGAGCGTGTGCTTGGGGCTTGGAGCCCTGTGTGATCCTCAGTCCCACTTCCTGCTGTCTGTCCACCTCCTTGTGAGGTGTCCTCTGCTGCCTGCTCTTGGCCCCTGGTGCCTCCAGCTTCCCCTTCCCCCCTTGGGGCTCTCATCCTGGGTCAGAAACTGGGTTGCATTGGGGGGAAGGGGAAAGGAAGCTCTGATCCCTGTTCTCGAACCCCCACAGGGACTGGCTGTGGGCATGGGGAGGTTGGGGTCAGGTGCACATCTTGAAGTGTCTCCGGATGAAAAGGTGGTGGCTGTCCTCACCTGGGCTGGAATCACCGTGGGGCATCACGGGATGGCTCTCACCCGCCCTTGACCGAGGTATCAAGTCATGACCCACATAGAAAACGGTAACATTTGTCTCCGACAACCATGAAGCAATCTGTACATGGGGGTCTGAGCTTGTTGATTCTGTTCAAATATCAAATAAATCTGTAACAGTAAGTTTTAAAAATTTTTTTAAAGGAAAAAAAGGGTAACATTCATATGGCACACTGTGGTAAAGGTAGCACTGGCTAGCCCAAGGGCCGAAGGCGGTTGTGCCCTGGACTTCATTAAGCTGGGCCTTGTGTTTTAGAAGCCCCCTTTCTCCACCCCCACCTTGACCCCACCCATCCCCACAGGGTAAAATATCGAGGGGCCAAGGAGACACACCCACCAAAGCCCGAAGCCCTCCTTCAGGGCCGGTTGCTCTTCCTTGCCCGCCGGTCACAGACCAACACCGTGCCTGACTAATGCACAGCTCACCACTCTTGTCTCAGCACGTGTGTCGGACAGCACCAGAACTTCTCTGTACCTCACTTAATCAGAGAAGTTCAGTCAAACAAGCTCACTCTTGGATGTTCCAGCAATGTCCAGTTGCCATAGAAATTTCTAAGTGCTTGCGCTTTTTATTCTTATCCTACGGCAGACCAGTAACAACAGTTTGGTGCCTGGACCACGCTGAGAAGCTCTGCTCTAGACTCTCCTGTGGGAGCCGGGACTCTGGGATTACCCGCCCATTCACACCGTACCTACTCCTGCTTTGCGCAGGGCCGGAGGCAGCTGTTCGCACGCAGGAAGAAGGGGAGATGAAGATTGGGTGTGTGTGCTGGGGTGTCATGCACATGCATTGGAGGCCCTTTTGGTGCAGGACGGAGGGGAGATGGGAAGAAAAGGGGTGCAGGCCCCTATCTGGTGGAAGAAGGGGGTGCCAAGGTTTGGGGTCAGCCCAGCTGAAGGAACCCGTTTCTCTGCATATCTGGAACCCATTCACAGGGATCCCATGTACGAGGGCCTGCCAGTCAGGAAATTCTGGACGAGGCACTTTCCACAGTGACTTTCAATGCTTTGAATCCTGATTTCTATCCATGGCCACAGGTGAGAGCCTCCCAGCAGTTTGCAGAGTAGGCGGGTGACATGTGGACATGTCTCCCCCATCCCCCTGCTCCCTCAGCTGTGTCAGGACTGGGGCCTCATCACTCTGCTTAGTCAGCCATTTCTCCCTCCCTTAATATAGCAGATACACTTGCTCCGCCTCGTGCAAACAATTTCTCAACACTCTGGGAAAGGATTTTGTTTGTTTTCCTTAAGTTTGATGAAAAGCAAACCCAGGCAAACACTCCAGAAGGAAAGATAGGCAAATGACTTGTCAATTAAAAACACACACACACAATCAGCCAATAGGCATATAAACAATGTAATATATCTGATAAACCAAGAAGTGTAAATCCAAGCAATGAGATACTTTATTTTGCCTCTTAAACTGGCAAAGACGAGAAACAAAACAGAAAATATTCCGTGTTTGTGAGGGTTTGGGGAATATTGCCCTTTCATATACTGTTAGCAAACGGGCAATAGGGTAATTGGAGATTTATAGGGATGAACTTGGCGATACATTGCAAAAGACCTTAAAATGTGTGCATCCTTTGAAATCTTGAATACATTGTTTCGGTCTTCTTACATCCATTGGCTGTTGATGAAAACTCTGATGTCAATCTCATTCTTGATTTCCCCCCCTCTTCTAAAGCTTTTCTTGTTATCAGTGACATTCTGAAATCTCACTAAGACCTGTCTAGGTTTTTCTTTTTTTATTTGTCCTACTGAGCACTTGGAAGGATATTTAATTTCATATTCTTCTGTCCTGAGAAATACTTACTTAAACCAGATAATTGTCTAGAATGAGTCAGAACTCAGGAGCACTTTACTAACATTTATTGTGAAGCACATTGTAAAGGGTACGGATGAACGGCCAGAGGAAGAGTACATAGGGGGAGCTCCAGGAGAGTCCCAAATGCAGAAGCTTCTGCCCTCGCGGAGCTGGGGTGCACCACCCTCCTCGCACATGGGGCGCTTTCACTAACCTTAAAACTCCCTAAACACTGTCATTTTGGGGGTTTTATGGAGGTTTCATCATATAAGTATGATCAACTATTAACTCAGTCTCATGCCCCTCTCCCCTCCCCAGGTGTTGGGAGATGAGACCGAAAATTTCCAAATTCCTCATCAAGGTTAAGCCTCCCTGGCAAAAAGCCCTCCTCCTGAAGCTGTCTGGGCGGTGGGGGTGGGGGGGGCAGGGGCATGAGCTGCCTCATTAGAACAAATGGTGCTGCTCTTTCTCCTATCACTCACGAAGTTCCAAGGGGTGTAAGAGCTCTGTGCCCCGTACCAGGACAAGGACCAATGACGCTCCTCGTAACAAAAGAGGCTTCCATCACCCCATCACTCAGGGTTATAAGAGTTTTAGAAGCTCTGTGCCAGGAACTGGGGACGAAGACCAAACATAGCTCTTAGGATATCCCGATATCCCACCCTCATAGACCGCCCCAGCGCGGCTGACTGGCCCCAGCAGGCGGAGCAGAATGGCCGCTCCGGGCCTCCCTGTGGCTCTCCGGCCACCTTGGCCGCCTCCTGCCTCCCTCTGGGTACTGACCCTCATGCTTTTTTGCTTCTCTTTTCTACCAGGTGCTCTTTATCCATGAATTCCTCACTGTAGCCCTCCGCTTGGGTTTCAGTAAGGCTATTTAAACCTTGATTTTTTAAAAATAATTTCTTGGCATTTGTTATGGGAGGGACATAGTCCGACACCTTGAGATGGAAGTATGGTTATAAAAACAAAACAAAACATCTGTATAACCTTCAAACCTGTGATCAATCCACTTCTAGGAATTCATCCTTAAGGAGGTAACTAAAAGTAAAACTTTAACTACAAAGAGTTTCATTACAGCAACATTTGTTTTGGAAAAGTGAAAACATATCTCCAACTAGAAGGGATTAGTAAAATAAATGGTGACACTTCCGCACAGAAGCGGACTATGTATAAAAAAGAATATGATGCTATTTCATGACATGGAGAAATGCCATTGATGTAGTAAGGAATATGTTCAGGTTACAAAATTATTTTTTAAATCTCATTTTTGTAAAAAACAAAAACAAAAACAAAACAAACATGTTCTTCTAGAAAAGGGTAACTTGGCAAGGCAGGATTTCTGGCAAGTCTTCTTTCTTCTCTTGGCTGTATTTTTTTTTTCCAGGCTCTTGGGGATTGTTTGTAGGAATTGCCATGTGCAAGACTCTAGCGCCGTTCTCTGTTTCCCCTGCCAGGTGTGCTGGAAGGTGGCCTGCCTGCCAGTGGTGTGCCCCGATCTACAGCCCCCGGCGGAACATCCAACCCAGAGAAGAAAATGAGCTGTGGGACCCAGTGCCCGAATCCTCAGAGCCTCAGCTCAGGCGCTCTGACCCACAAACAGAATGGTTTTCGCGCCACAGAGGTAGGTCACAGCCACGAGACACACTTGAGACTGGAGAAAGGGAAAGAAGCTGGCTTCAGGGCAGGGCCAAGCTGAGACTGTACCCAGGGAAGGAACAGTGAAGATTCGCCTTGCCAGAGGACATTCTCTGCCTCACCCAAGAGAAAATCGTTGCAAACAAAATAGCAAGACCCAATACCGCAACCCCTGCCTTGAGAGTTGCTCTATTTTGTTGAATCAACTGAAATGGGTCCTTGATATCTGCGCTCTAAAGGACGTGTATTTGCTTAAATACAGCTCCGTTCCTGTCTCACTATCTGGATAACGAGGACTGTGCTGGCTATAGCAACGAGTCTCAGGCCAGACAGTCAGCCAGTCTCAGGGGCTGGCAGGGTGGGGAGCAGGCAGGGAACGTGAAAAGGATGATCAGTGTGGTCATGGGGGACTGGCCTGCCATTTTACCTCAGACCCTCCAGCAGGTGGGCAGTGGGAGGCCCCACGGGGGACTCTAGCTGCAGAACATGGTGGCAGCATCACCCCCAGACCGTTGCTGTTAGAAAGGAAGTAGGACTGTGGTGTCCCTGGCCCAGCTAGCATCCTTTCTGATCCTTTCTTTCCTCCCAGAGCTCTTGTTAGGAAGTGCTCCTCCCGTGGGAATGAACACGATAGGAGGCAGGCTCAGGCTCTGGAGGCTCCTCCTCCTTCCACTCCCTGTCTGTCTCCCTCCCTCTTCCTCCTCATGCCCGTCCCCACCCCCAGTCAAAGCCCACTGCTTACCGGATACTCCAAACCCATTTTTCCCCTCTTTCCTGTCAAAACCTACTGGTCCTGTCCCCTCAGGCCTATGCCACCTGCTTTCTGAGGGTACAGCCGGTCATGGAATGATAGAATTCCTGCTCATGTCCATGAGTTACCGTTCAAAGCTTTGGTAAAAAAAAAAACACCCTGTTGTAACTTCAGCTCTGACATTCATTAACTGAGTAGCCTTGCAGAGATCCCTTTCATCTCTCGGAGTCTCAAGTTCCTTATCCACACAACAGAAGTCATACCAAACTGAGAGAACAGATGGGCCTGGTCTTTGTGAACTGAGAAGTGCCATAAGAAAGGCACTAGGGCCCTGGCCAGTGTGGTTCAATCGGTTGGGGCATCGTGCCATAAACCGAAAGGGTGCAGGTTTGATTCCCGGTCAGGGCACATGCCTAAATTGTGGGTTCAGTCCCTGGCTGGGGAGCGTATGAGGCACCCGATCGATGTTTCTCTCTCACATCAATGTTTCTCTCCCTCTCACTCCCTCTCCCTCCCTCCACTGCCCCCCCCCCCCCCCCCCCAAAATCAATAGCATGTCCTCAGGTGAGACATGCTTAAAAAAAGAAGAAAAAGCAAGGCAGTAAGGATTCATAGAGATGGTTAGGCACACAGTGCCAAAACCCAACTAAATGAAGCACTCATGGGCACCGTAGAAGGTAGTGGGTAGGGAGTAGATCGGAAGATTGCAGTGGCCCTCCCAGGATTCTTAATGCCTACTTTGCTTGTGTCTAAACTGGCCTTCTAGAAGCCCTGTCAGTGCTATCTCCCAGGGCAGACTGGGCCCCACAGAACTACACTCAGAAGCGCTCGTATGGACCCTGACATTTGTCCCCTAGCCTACTCCCCACACTTGTGACCTTACCCTTTGGGCCAGGATGCACCTTGGTAAGGAGGAAGCAGCTTGGCCTGGTGTGTGACATGGCCCACACGTTTGCTTTCCCACCTCACTTCCAGCCCTCGTCATCCATCACTTTAAAGTTGTGTGCTGCAATTTACAGAGCACTTTTGGAGCTGCTCACTCAATAAACCTTCCCAAGAGCGCTGGGAAGTAAGCATCATCCCCATGTTATAGACAGAGAAACTGAGGTTCGTTTAATTGCATGATATGACTAGGCTGTTTAAGTGCTGGAGGTGGGTGTTTTAAGTGCTGGAGGTGGGTGTTAGTAACTTTAAATTGAAACAGGTGACTATTTTGAAAGGGGGAGCCTAGAGATCATAAAGTACTTTTTTATTGAAGAATCATGTGTATTAATCAGCTGTTGTCATAATAGTACTGAAAAACACAACATTCACGGGCTTAAAACAGCAATCTTTGTTTCCCCTTCATAATCAGCTGCAACTTGAATGAGCTAGACCTGACTCCAGGCTCCAGGTCTAACTGAACCTCCTTTTCTATGTGTCTTATTCTGGGAATCAGTCCAAAACAGCAGTGGCTTTCTGAGGTATCTTCTTCTCATGACAATGGCAGTTTTGGGGCTCAGGGCAGGCTGCCCTAAAATATGCCACTTTGGCATATTGATGATTTTTAATTAAAGTTACTTAAGAAACAGCTGGTGCAGAAAGGACTGCCTGACTGTTCTCTGTCTCTCTGAAAGCAGGAAAGAAACCTCCTGTGTGAAAGACCTCCCTGTCTGCAGAGATAGGGAATCCTGGGCTGAGAGGGCTGTGTAAATAAACATTGCCTAGATTCTTCGCGGATTAAGCACCCACGCCTAAGTTTCTTAGTCTTCTCAATTCTTCATGAATTTATGGTTTCTTTGTCTAAAAAAGTATAAAAGCTGCCTGCTTGAATCATTTCTTTAGGTCCCCTATTTGTGAGACCTCAATAGGTATGAAACGAAACTTGATTTTCTCCTGTTAATCTGGCTCATGTCAATAGAATTCTTAAACCAGCCAGAAGAACCCTGAAGGGCATAAAGAATTTTTTTTTTTTCCTCCCTGACAGCAGAAACCCAAGAGGGCCAAAACCTAACTGTTCAAGGCACATTTCATGTTTCTGCTCATATCATAGCAACCAACCTCCTATTGGCCAAAGCAAGTAACATAGACAAGCTTTGCATCAGAAGGGCAAGGAAGTGTACTCTGCTCCCAGCAGGGAGATGGGTAGGAGCAATGATGTAATTTACCACGCATAACATACACACAGGAAAATGCACAAGTCATAAGTTCAATGCATTTTTATAAGGTGACACACCCGCATACCCATCTTCTGTATGAAGGCATAGAGCATTGTCCCTGGCACAGGAATCCTCCTGATCCCCTCCCTGGGCACCACCCGCCACCCACAGCCTAACCACTTTCCTGACATCCAGCACTGTACACCAGTTTTGTTTATTTTCAAGATTTTTCCAAATGGAACTATACAGCATGTTGTGTCTGCCTCCTTTTGCTCAACATTATGCTACTGAGAATTATCCATGTTGCTGTAAGTTGCAATAATTTCCTCATTTTTATTATATATATTTCATTCTATTGGAAGGACATTTGGGCTGTTTTCAGTTTGGGGCTATTCTGAACAGCATGGCCATTAACATTTTTAAAAATTAAATTTATTGGGATAACATTGGTTAATAATACCATTATATAAATTTCAGGTATACAGCTTTGTAACACACCATGTGTACACTCCAGTGTGCTCACCACTCAAAACCTAGTCTCCTTTCATCACCGTACGTTTGACCCCCTCCCCCTTTACTCTGTCTGTCCTCCCCACATCCTCTTCCCCTCTGGTGACCACTATTCTGTTTTTTGTATCTAGAGTTTGTTTGTTCATTTGTTGCTTTGTGTTTTATATCCCACATATGAGTGGAATCATACTGTTCTTGTCTTTTTCCATCAGGCTGACTTCACTTAGTATGATACCCTTAAGGTCCATCCATGTTGTCACAAATGGCAGCATTTCATCTTTTTAATGGCTGAGTAGTATTCCATTGTATGTACCACATCTTCTGTATCTTATCATCTGTCAAAGGACACTTAGGTTGTTTCCATGTAACATTCTTGTGAATGCCCTTCTGTGGAAACTCGCTTCTTTGGGATTTATATGTAGCAGTGAAATTGCTGGCTCACAAGGTAGGGATGTATGCAGCTTTAATAGATTCTGACAGTTTCCCAAAGTGGCTATGCCTGTGTACATGCTCACGGGCAGGTGATGAATTCTGGTTGTGGAACATAAGAATTTCAGGCCAGTTACTGGGATTTAGTCCTTCCTTAGGCCTGTCCTTCTAGGCAGAGCCTTCTAGGCTTAGAACAGGGTGCTAAGCACACTGTTACATTATCTCACTTAATGCTCACAGTGATGCTAAGATGTTCACATGGTTGTCTCTAACCCACAAAGGAAAATGGAGGCCTGCAGAGAGCTGAGAAAGGCACCCCTCAGTCCACACCCACAGACGCTGGGATCTTGGGTGGGAATTAAAGCGGAGCCAGATGGACCCAGATCCCGGGACTCCGGCAGCTGTGGAAACGGTGTCGCTGAGAGTGAGGACCGCACTCACCCAACCAACAAAGCGCCCTGGGCAGATTGCCTATAACCGATAAGCCATCCCTGTAGCTTTTGTTTTCACAATTCAATGAACAATGGCTACATTGTAACTGTCTTAAAACAAGGTCAGGGAAAGATAACTTGCAGTGCTCAGACTGTTGCTGAAGTGCAGCAGTGGGCTTCCTATGCCAAGACCTCTCCAGCCACCAGATGTCCTGAGTCCCTGAAGGGCTATGGCAAAGGTTTCTCTCTAAGGTGTCGGTTTACAGCATGAGCGTCCCTCTGATTTCAGTGTTTGTCAGCAGAGCCATCTCTGACTATCACAGCTCTCTGCTGCCTAGAATCTGTCCAAGGAAATTAGTTTTCTTCCTATTCCCTCCAGGGCTTTGACCTACCACTTCTTCCTAGCTTGTCTCTTATACTCTGGGCGAAAGCTTCCTGCATTTTCAGTGTCTGGCTTGGGCAGTATCTGCTCACCCTCTCCTGTCTTCCTTTGCTCCCCCAGGGTGATCTGTCAGCATTGCATAGTGTGCCCTGTATGGCATCAGGCCGCCTGCCTGATGGGTCTTTGGTGCTTTTTTAAAGCTCCCCTTCCCCAGAAGAATGCATTCACGAAGCATGCATCCTCACGCGTGTGCCGCCTGTCGCATCCCCATCCAGACCCAAAACGTGTTTGTGCGTTAGAGCTGATCCTTGCTAGGCCTGGAAACTTTCTCACCAGTTCCCAGAA